GGGGGCTGTAAACTTCAAAGAAAATGATAACTCTTAAAAATTCTCGAACGCTGCCTATGTTCTTGGAAATAGCTGTTCACAAGAGAGTGACAAACATGACATGGATCAATCAGCCCATTTACAATTCTACTGTGCAACAGAACATGGTAATGTCCCACCTTTGGGAATGGCCTAAAGTAAAGACACTTCAGTCTGTGGCACTGCCCTTGGGGGGTGTGGGGGGGGGGGGTGAAATGAGAGAGAGCTTTGGGTTTTTTTTCTTTCTGAAACTGAGTTTTTGCCACCTTTTTTTTTTAAAAATCGAGAATCATTTTCTGTGACAAACAGCAGTTTAGCTTGGCTGTTTTATTTCTTGTTCAGATGGTATCTTAAGGACTTTTCTAGAATGATATCTCAACATTTTTGGTAAATTTCTATCGTCCTTTTCTTTCCTCATTCCTTTTTTTGTATGTTTTTCTCTTGCAGCCCACGTATCTTCCGTCACTCGTACTTGTATGATTTATTTGTGTCGCTAGTCAGTGAAACTTTACCACTTTGCAGTCACACAGCCAGCAGTACAAAACACCCCATCTGGTCACCCAGCCAGGAGAGCGACTGCAACGGACTTCTTGGGCCTGGTGCAGAAGTGCGCCTTGTGACCAGAACGGATATTTTTCACCGGCGCATTATTGCGTCAAGTGACTGCAAATTTTTATACAAAAAAACCCATTGCTCTTTGTCTACTTTTAACTTTACTTTTATCCGCTGCTTATACCCTTTTGGGTGTCTCGGGAAGAAAGAGACGTCTCTCTGTCACCAGCCGGAGAGCTTGGGTCAGGGGGATGCCGTGGGTGGTTAATGTTTCCCAGACACCATCTATCCAGGTCTTTCTCGGTTGCCCTCTAGCCTTGTTGCCTTTGAATTTTTTTTATGTAGGCTTGTTGTACTGGATGGTGTATTGGTAATCGCATGAGGTGTCCGAACCATTTGATATTTTAGTGTTGGTTGTGATGCATGACATAAATTCTTTGCCATATCGACAGACCGAAGGGCTAGAACCCAAATGGCCGCTGGATTGGAAAAGTAAAGTGAAGTATGCATGACATCATTTGTGCCGAACCATTTGTGAGGCATGCTGACAAAATGAGTCACTTCTCGCATTCCACTAATGGAGAGATTGGCCACATATCGACATTACGGTCAAATGTGTAGATTTTCTATTGATGTCATATTCTTTAACTATAACCTATCTTTTATTATTTCATACTTAAATATTGTACATACTTCACCTACAAGCGTGATGTATCTATTTCCTTAAGGTTTGAATCCGAAAAGTAACTCATTTTGTCAGCACGCTTCACGTTTGTCCCCACAGCGCACAGAGCAGCCCCGCCCACAACCGACACACCCTGAATGAGCTGAGCAGGCTGGACCTGGAAGAGTTGGATCTGCTTCCCACCAAAGAGGAAGTGGTGAAAGGTGAGAAGAGAGAGGCGGAGCCTGTGAGCTGCAGCGGGAGTGGCCTCTCTCCTCTGGCCCTGACCTCCCCGCCGTCCACGCCTTCTATCCTGGACTCGGCCATCGGAGTATCTGGTGAGTTTGAGCTCCTTTTTCCATTACTTCTCATCTGGTTCTAGTGCATTTGTTTTCGGTATATTAAGTTAGCGTATGTGAGGCATCTTGGTGAAACCAGGCGCTCGTCAAAATAATGAAATTGAAGAAGCAAGCAATTTTCCGCAAGTTTGGTGATTTATTCCGAATTACTGTTTTTGTCCTCAACACCTTTTGTGTCTGTATAACGACACATTTCCGTGTGAATTTTACTTAAAAACGTTGATTAAAAGCACAAAATATGTAAATTTTCAGTTTTCAAGAACTCTCAATCTAAAGAAGCTACCAGACTTTGGAGGTCATTTTCTCGCCAATTTTACCTCCAAAACCGGGTTACTCCCACCTTCTTCAGTCGCAGATATCCCGACTTCCATTTAAGATAGATGGGTATTTTTTCATCGAAAGCAAGGCACATGAACAGGCTTTACGATGATACCAGTAACTCCACATGCCCAAAAATTGACGAGCGCCTGATTTCACCGCGTCATGACACAATATAGTCAAACATAATATTGTCTGTTTCCCTACTCATACCACGTATCTGTCAAATTAGGACAAACTTTTTTTATTGTCTCAAATTATGTTACTCACAACTGTAATAACATTTGGTGATACTGCAGAAATAACAGGGATGCCAAATCTCCGGTTTTTCCGGCTTTTTCCGGTTTTTTCCTACACTTGCAAAGGAAAGGGGAATGGTAAGAGAGATGTTTTTGTGTTTGCTCATTGAAAGATTTTACAAGGTTCGTTTTAGGTGAGGTGTGATGCTCCGCTCATTTTCAGGTTTAAAAAACAAAAATCATTTGGCATCCCTGAAATAAGAACACCCTGTACAATATTTTGAGCAATGGTAGTAGATATTTAAGAAAAGGATTTTGTTTGTTTCCACTTTTCTGAAAATCAGTGTTTCCGCACATACGTGGTTAGAGTCGGACATTGAGGATAAGCTTTTAGAATTTTTCATTGTACTCAAGTGAAAAATTTATGGGCAGAGGCGTCATATGTTTCGATAGTCTTGTTTTTTATTGAAATGCCATTGGTTCATGCTGTTGAAACATATTTTTTTATAATACATGTGCGCACACACACACACACACACACACACACACACATACATACAGGCAAACAAACACAAATACTCTGACAAGCACAACAAATACATATCCATACACACACTTTTGTGATAATCTTCATACCGAAACCCAGAGAGGTGGGTGGTTGGTGGGTGCTCTGGTGTGGTGTGCTCCTTCTTTCCTATCAAACATCTATCGTCCTGATCTCTCCTCCTTCTTTTTTGTGTTTGTAACTCTCTTGTAACACCTCTAATCTTCGGCACTATATGACCTTATTGTGTTGCAAGTGCCGTAAAACTTTTACTAAAACTAAAACCCAGAAAGTGTAAGTACCAATGGCTGTCCCCGTCGTCTTATGCAAGAAAAATTCTGAAATTATGCAAGCTGACCCCAAAAATGGGAAATTATGCGACTCTGTTCATTTTAACAAAGAATGATGAAGGAAAATAATCAGAAATTTTTCAAAAAATGATCAAATTTTGGTAAATTATGCGGGGTGCATAAAACCACAGGGACAGAAATGGGAGATCTAAACTGGAGGCCTGGACTTGAATCCTGCTGACCCCAACGGGGTCACTGGTTGACATGCTTCGTTTGGGCAGCCCAACAAAACGACTGCAGTGGAAGGGACTGATGGCAGTGCTAAGGCAAACAGCGAAATGGGTCAACTTTGGCAGTTGATCTGTCCCCGCGGTTTTATGCACCCCGCATAATTTAGTAAAATTTGATCATTTTTTGCATAATTTCTGATTATTTTCCTTTATCATTCTTTGTTAAAAATTAACAGATTCGAATAATTTCACATTTTTGGGCTCAGTTTGCATAATTTCAGAATTTTTCTTGCTTAAAACGACGGGGACAGGTTGATAGTGACAGTGAGAAGAATTTTTGCAGGAAAAGAATAGTGGGATTCTTTTGGAAGTTGTTCGCAAATATGGCCGCACAGAATTATAAAAGTTTTTAATAGTCACAGATTAATAGAATTCCTTTGTTTTTTAGTATGTTTGATTAAGGTTAAAAGTTCAGAAAAACGGCTGACACGCTTCTCGTCCAATGAGCAGCCCATAGCGTTTCTAACTGGGTTATCTTTTGGTGTAGCTCTAAGCTCTCAGCATCAGAATCAGCACTATAGTAAAATGTCCCTGCTCAGAGTGATGTGTTGTGCCAGATTCTCGCTCGGACTGGAAGGATCTTTTAACCCTTAAGAGGGGGCTCTCGTGGCCTAGAGGTTAAGGTGTTGGCCTCTCATTCAAAGGTCCCGGGTTCGAATCCGGGTAGCGACCGAAAAATTTTCTTCTCTAAAATTGTGTCCTTTCACCTCCTTTCCTGCTCTCTAGCAATGTTCTGTCGTCTGCTTTCGTCTCCTCTTTCTGCCCCCCGCCCCCTCACCTCCTTTGCCCCCTCTTCTGGGCTCCTAACTCTTTCTGCAGCCTTTCTACTGCTACTCCTTGGCTCCTCCTTATTGCTGTCTTTCTGCCACACCCCTGATCTTCTGGTAGGAAAGATCTACACCTAGCCTTCTTGGAAAAGGGCGAAAAATCTCGGAGGGCCTGTGTGCAAGTTGCGCACGTTAAAGATCCTTTGGTGGTCTAAAATCGATAAGAGTAGGCTTCGGCCGCCACCCGGGCAAAATTCCAAATTTCCTACCAACTGAAAATATTAGGTGTGTCCCGCACTCTCATATGACCTATGCAGTTGCGAGCGCCGTAAAACACTTTACAAAAACAAAAACAACCCTTAAGACAAAAATGTAATCATCCATCTCCTCATTATCTGCATGCAAGTGAAACTTGTTACTTGTTACTTGTGTGAAGGACCGACATCACTGCACAAGGGGCATCCCCATAAGCGCTCCGTCCCCTGAAGAGGCACATCTCGAAGTGTGTAGATGCTGACGGTTCCAAGTAATGGTTGATTCCATAGCCTTCTGACGCAAGTGAAAACAGTTGTGAAATATTGTAGAGTTGTACGTACAGCCTACAATTTTACATCCATTTTCAGGGAAAATATACAAATTGTCGGATTCTATTTTCTGTTTTTAGCCCCGAAATATTGTTCTATTCATTATGAATTATGCCTTTCCTCATTGTAGCCTCTTTCAATCATTATGTCATATGTTTTTGTTACTTTCTAAGATCTCACCAGTTCTTAGTGCTTTGCGGATGTCGTTAAGTTGAAATGTTTCATTTTCACTCGAATAAAACAGAAATTTTTAATAGGCGTTGGTGGCCTAGTGGTTAGGCTACCGGACTCGTAATCGTGAGGTTGCGGGTTTGGGGGTTCGAGCCGCGGGCCCGACATTGTGTCCTTGGGAAAGGCACTTTACACCAATTTTCCCCACTTCACCCAGGTGGGAATAGGTACCCAGCTATAGACAGTGAAAGATCTTGTCAGTTTGTTACTGTTTGAGCGCTTAACAGCTGCTTGCACTGTATACTTTCCGGGAAGCTGAAAATGTTTCTGAGTGTTCTATGGTCTGCTGGGGTAATAATATTGTGTAAAACGCATAGAGCCTGCTTTCGAGTGCGGATATGTGCTGTACAAATGCTGTTTATTATTATAATTATTATTATTGTTGCTATTTTCAGAGGATGAGCCTAACGATATCACTGTCGTTTTTCAAATGTTGTAGTGAGTGCTTTTTGATATTTTTGAATACAGCCTTCAATTTTACATCCATTTTCAGGGAAAATTCTTTGTCTGAGACAAAGATCGTACATAACAAGATAGTTCACTCAGCCAAAAGAATGTCCGCGGAAGTTCGCCCATTGGATCAGATGGTGCTGCTGTCTTTGTTTCGAAGCTCTCTTTCGTTTCTCAAGAAGAAGAATAGGAACAGCACAGTTTGTTAGTTTCACTTTTATTGTTTTTCACACAAGTAGGGTGACTCTGTTCGCAAAGTCTGCCCTTTTTTCGAAGAGGGCTCCACCGGATTTTGAGGACACTTTTTTAAATTGGCTCAAAGCGAGGAGTGAACTATTTTGTTATAAACGATCTTTGTCTGAGATAAAAGCTTGCACCAAACTCCCCACTGAGAATGCCGGGTGTTGGATTTTGACTCTCTTATTCTTTCCACTCTCTGTGGGAGCTATTCGGGCACTGTTGAAAGGAGATTGTTGAGGGAAAATGAGTTTAGCTTTCCCTTTCATCATTATTATGATTACAATTTGGTCGCTTTTAAGCACAAGGGGCTATCCCCAAAAATGCTGTTTTGAGAAAATCAAAGGTAAAATTTTTGCACCCTTTTTCAGTTTCTTGAAGAGACAAGGAGAGTTTTCTCTATAACCAAACAAATATATACACAAATGGAACCAAACTTCTCCTATAGGTAGGGCAATGCCCACTTTTGGTGTAGGTCAAGATTTCTGGCAACCCAGAATTTTGAGATGAGCCCAAAAAAGGTTTTTGCTGTTTTTGACTTTGTGGGATAGCATGCGGTGTGTAATATGATGGTTTATGGTCACGGGGGACGTTGCTAGGACATTTTTTGTGCAGTTATTTCAGGGTTTTTAACTCGTTTCCCATTTCGTTTCGTTTAAATAAAGATACCGATCTCAAGTGCTTGTCTCAAATACTTGTCTCAAGTGCTTGTCTCAAATACTTGTCTCAAGTGCTTTTCTCAAATACTTGTCTTAAGTACTTGTCTCAAGTGCTTCCTGTTCCTATTCCTGCATAGCAGAAGAATTTGGTTATTATAATAATAATGCAGATGATTTCTTTAGCGCCCACTCCCATACAATTCAACTTTCTTCTTCTTCTTCTTCTTCTTCTTCTTCTTCTTCTTCTTCTTCTTCTTCTTCTTCTTCTTCTTCTTCTTCTTCTTCTTCTTCTTCTTCTTCTTCTTCTCCTCCTCCTCCTCCTCCTCCTCCTCCTCCTCCTCCTCCTCCTCCTCCTCCTCCTCCTCCCCCTCCCCCTCCTCCTCCTCCTCCCCCTCCCCCTCCCCCTCCCCCTCCTCCTCCTCCTCCTCCTCCTCCTCCTTCTCCTTCTTCTATCCCGTGGATGGAGCAACCGTGGGGGCACCACTGCTTCTGACAACCAGCTCTCGCCATCTATTTTTGTCCTCTGCTTTCCTCAGATTGTCACCCATTGTCTTTCCTGTCCACTCTGTGATGTTGTCCTCCCATCTCCTTCTCTGCCTTCCTTTCTTTCTCTTTCCTTGTACGTTTCCTTGCAGGATTGTTTTGTCGAGTCAAGTGGATCTTGTGACATGCCCATACCATTTTAATTTTCGTCAACTGTTGACAATACTTTCATCTCTACACATTTCAATAGTGCCCACTCCCATACAATACAGCTTTAGAGGTTTACAATGCCTTCATCTCTACTACTCCCCGAGGCAGTGCCACTGACTGAAGTGTCTTTAGGCCATGCCCAAAGGAGGGACATTTCTCGTTCTAATGCCCAGTAGAATTGTAAATGGGCTGATCCAATAATGTCATGCTCATAACTGTGCCTGAACTACAACAGGGAACTGCTGCTTTTTCTTTCCTAATCCTTACTATCTCCATTTTCCTCTACTTCTTTTGTATGTTTGTCACTCTCTTGTGACCCGCTATTTTAGGGGTGCCTTGATAGTTGAAGCAAACTTTGTGCTGTTGAAGCTAGAGAGGTGAGCAGAGCAAGCCTGATTCCCTGTAAAGACTTCTCTGTTGACATCCACCCGTGGCGCTCATATAACCTTATGCAGTTGCGAGTGCCGTAAATCCTCTACTAAATTTTAAAAAAAAGCGCTTCCTGTTCCTATTCCTGCATAGCAGAAGAATTTGTTTATTATAATAATAATGCAGATGATTTCTTTAGCGCCAACTCCCCTACAATACAGCTTTAGAAGTTGACAATACCTTCATCTCTACACATCTCTATAGTGCCCACTCCCCTACAATACAGCTTCAGAAGTTTACAATACCTTCATCTCTACACATCTCTATAGTGCCCACTCCCCTACAATACAGCTTCAGAAGTTTACAATACCTTCATCTCTACACATCTCTATAGTGCCCACTCCCCTACAATACAGCTTCAGAAGTTTACAATACCTTCATCTCTACACATCTCTATAGTGCCCACTCCCCTACAATACAGCTTCAGAAGTTTACAATACCTTCATCTCTACAAATCTCTATAGTGCCCACTCCCCTACAATACAGCTTTAAAAATTGACAATACCTTCATCTCTACACATCTCTTTAGCACCCACTCCCATACAATACAGCTTCAGAAGTTTACAATACCTTCATCTCTACACAAACCTTAAGTGAATAAACATGCATACCGGTACATATGCTTTTTTGATGAACACTAACACAGGCAGGGTTGAAGCCCACCTTCTGAATTGCGACAGTCGGGATGTAAAAATACCTACTTTTAATTTAAAAAAAAATCAAACTGAGTATACCTCTTAACGCAGGTTGATACTAAGGAGATGAAATTCATGATGGAATTTGTCTGTTATCATGTGTAAAACATTTGTCTCAAAAAAGGGAAAGTTTTTGGATAGTTTTGGTACATTTGTCTCAAAAAGGGAAAGTTTTTGGATAGTTATGGTACATTTGTCTCAAAAAGGGAAAGTTCTGGATAGTTATGAGCACTAGTATTGTCTTCTAGATATTCTGCTAATTTCTCCTCATCATTCTGAACGATGGTGTTATCATACGTCAGTTGTGCTGACAAAATGAGATACTTCTCGCCATCCAAGAATGGAGACATCGGCTGAAAATCAACATTTGGGTCAGAATGATAGATTTTCAGTTGATGCCGTTTTGCTCAAGTCTGCCTCATCTTTTATTACTCCATACTTACAAACTGTATAAACTCCACCTATAAAGTTGATGTATCTAAATTACCATACGGCTAAAATCCGAATAAAGTAACTCATTTTGTCTGCATTTAATCAACATTTTTCAGTAAAATCCTTACAGAAATGTGTTCTTTAATGGGCATGAAAGGTGCTGAGCCAAAAAACGAAAATTCAAAAAAAAAAATTCCCAAACGTGGGGAAAAATGCAAACTTCTTGACTTTCATTATTTTGACGAGCGCGCTGCTTTCACCACGCTGCCTCACATTTTGTAATGATACTCTCCAAGACAGTGGGTGGTTGGCGGGTGCTCTGGTGTGGTTTGCTTCTTCTTTCCTATACTTTACTTTTCAGATCCAGCGGCCATTTGGGTTCTAGCCCTTCGGTCTGTCGATATGGCAAAGAATTTACAGGTTCTTCTTTTCTATCAAACATCTATCGTCCTTATTTCCCCTCCTTCTTTTTTATGTTTGTTACTCTCTTGTAACCCCTCTAATGACCTTATGCAGTTGCGAGCGCCGTAAAAACCTCTACTAAAAAACTCCCCAAGACATCTATCGTCGTGTCTAAGACCAGGACTTTTCTCCTTAACCACGAGTGTTTGGGACAACTCCCACTCTACTTTATCTATTGCCACTCTATGTTTGTTTCATTCCAATGTCAGCTGAAGTCGTTTCTGTTTTTGAATTAGTAAGATGAATATTTGGAGTGATTTTCTTTTAGTCAGTCAGAACACAATGTTTTATGACTCTGTTGTACATTGTACTGTATTGTAGATGGTGGTTGGCAGGTGCTCTGTTGTGGTTTGCTTCTTCTTTCCTATCAAACATCTTTCGTCCTTATTTCCCCTTCTTCTTTTTTTATGTATGTTACTCTCTTGTAACACCTCTAATGTTCTGGCGCTCATATTACTTTATGCAGTTGCGAGCGCAGTAAATCCTCTGCTAAAACTAAACTGAACTGTATTGTAAAGCGCTCAGAGCCTGTGTACTTTAATCGGGGTTGAGCACTATATAAATGTCAATTTAAATTTTTATTATTATTGTGAGAGGGAAAGTATTTTCTTCACTGCACCGAGCACTGCACTCCTCTGGCTCTACATTGTAATATTTTTCTTCCCTGCGGACATTTTACTTTCTTTCTTTCTTTGCTTTCTTTGTGCACAGACCGTTAACCATGTTTTCTTGCCAAAAATGGGTAGCTACATTTTCTGTTTAAGGAATGTTTATTAAAGTCCTTTTTCATAGTAGTGCTTCGCTTGTATAAAATACCAGGAGCATAATTCACATGGTTGTTAGGATGAAAGTATTTCAAAGTCATTCTCTCTTTCTTTCTTTCTTTCTTTCTTTCTTTCTCTTTCTTTCTTTCTGTCTGTCTTTTTTCTTTCTGTCTGTCTTTTTCTTTCTTTCTTTCTTTCTTTCTTTCTTTCTTTCTTTCTTTCTGTCTTTCTGTCTTTCTTTCTGTCTTTCTTTCTGTCTGTCTGTCTGTCTGTCTGTCTGTCTGTCTTTCTTTCTGTTTCTCGTTCTTTCTGTCTCTCGTTCTTTCTTTCTTTCGTTCTTTCTTTCTTTCTTTCGTTCATTCTTTCTTTCTTTCTGTCTCTCGTTCTTTCTGTCTCTCGTTCTTTCTTTCTTTCGTTCTTTCTTTCTTTCTTTCGTTCTTTCTTTCTTTCTTTCGTTCTTTCTTTCTTTCTTTCTGTCTTTTTTCTTTGTTTCTTTTTATTTTTTTGTTTCTTTTTCTTTCTTTCTTTCTTTCTTTCTTTCTTTCTTTCTTTCTTTCTGTCTTTCTTTCTGTCTTTCTTTCTTTCTTTCTTTCTTTCTTTCTGTCTTTCTTTCTGTCTGTCTGTCTGTCTGTCTGTCTGTCTGTCTGTCTGTCTGTCTTTCTTTCTTTCTTTCTGTCTCTCTTTCTTTCTTTCTGTCTCTTTCTTTCTTTCTGTCTTTGTTTGTTTCTTTCTTTTTTAAATGGTAAAGTATTTAACATCTTTACTCCTTCTTTGATTCCCTACTTATTGATCATGTTTCTCCTTTGGAGCATGTCGAGGTAGTCAAGATCTGAAGAGAGGGAAGCAGTGCTTGGGCAATCTGCCTCCTCTACGTCTACCACCCTGGCAAACTTGTGTCATGCTCACTGCTTTAACCCTATCCGTATGTCGTGTTTTACTATCGTATCCATACGATGTGGGGAACTCTGTGCCACCACTTTCCAAAGAGGAAATTTACTCGTTAATCTGATCCGTACGCTTTGCATAGCAGTCTGTCAAAATGATTTTTTGAGTAATACTGAAAGTTTCAAAGAGATCTTCGTGCTACAAGTATTCTAAAATGTGAAGAATACAATCCCGGGGGTACAAAATGACCCTAGGGTGTACGGATAGGGTTAAGATCATTGATCAAGACACAACAAGCTCATCATAGTTTATATTACATCAAGTTTTTGTAAATTAGTAGATTTAATAACTAGATAAATTTTATCTAGTGTGGTCAGTTTTCTGATCACCATTTATTACTATAAACCTAATAATGACAAAGATTTCATTTTTTGGGGAAAATTCAACCTTATTTTATTTTTTTGTTATGTGTTGAAATGAAAGGAATCTCAGGAAATTTTGAGACACTTTGTGCAGCACTGGTTGATCCAGCAAACAGACGTGGAAGTGACTTGAGCCGTCACTTGATGATCGTATTTGTGTTGATGTTCTTCTCTTTACTCAAACGAGTGGGTGGTTGGCGGGTGCTCTGGTGTGGTTTGCTTCTTCTTTTCTATCAAGCATCTTTCATCCTTATCTCCCCTCCTTCTTTTTTATGTTTGTTACTCTCTTGTAACACCTCTAATCTTCGGCACTTGTATGACCTTATTGTGTTGCAAGTGCGGTAAAACACTTATTAATACTTAACTTACTCAAACAAATAGACAGAATGATGCCTTGACTGGTGTAGAACCAGTACAGCTATTTGTTCACATCATGCATGGTTCACATTAACAAGGGAGGAAAAAGAGATGTGTTAATGTCAAAATGTGAGAGATAGTTCAATATTGTGTGTTCTTTCTCTTGTCAGATATGCTTGAGGAGAGTTCTCCGGGACAGTCGGGCCTGCTGAGTGACCAAAGACTGGGGCTGCTTGCTGGGGAAAAGGAAACCCCAGACTACGACAGAATCAGAGCCAAGTTACTGCAACGGGACAGTGGAGAGGACCTCCAAAGTGATGATGATGATAGCCACAACTTGTCTGAAAGGTTGGAACACTGTCTCGAAAAAGACGTAGAGGACATCAAAGACTCGGAGGGTATCTTTGAAGGCTTTGAGCCTCATTGTCAAGACGACCTTTTTCAGAATGAGGAGGATGATGATGATGATGATGACTGTGTCGGAGCTAGTGAGGAGTTTAAGAGTTTAATTGAATGTGTCACGGCTAAGCTGATAGAACGCTCCCATCAGATTCATCCCCCTGGGAAGAATGCACACGCTGCTGACAGCTGCAGGCAAACCGCAAACCCGATGACGTTGTCGGATGAAAAATGCCGTAGTCGTCTTCCTCTGGATGAAGAGGTGGATGTGGACATGTCGTCTGCTGGACAACGGGGGGGACGGGGAGGTATGGAGGAGGTCACTCTGGTGTCGGGGAGAGGCCTGCAGCTGTCAGACGTCGCGGGACCACCGGGGACGGAGGAGGAGGATGAGGACGGGGGCTCCAAGTTGTCGTTGCTTGGCTCTCAAAGTGACGGTAGTAGAAGTAGAACTGACGATGTTCCTGTTATAGACTGTTAACTTTTCTGCGGATAGTTCGCAGTTGCGAGTGCCGTAAAACCTCTTCTAAATAAAAAAATTAAAAATAGTTTCTGTTGGCTAGACATTAACCCTATCCGTAGGTCGTGTTTTACTATCGTATTCATACGACGTGGGGAACTCTGTGCCACCACTTTTCAAAGAGGAAATTTACTCGTTAATCCGATCCGTACGCTTGGCATAGCAGTCTGTCAAAATGATTTTTTGAGAAATACTGAAAGTTTCAAAGAGGTCTTCGCACAAGAAGTATTCTAAAATATGAATAATACAACCCTGGGGGTACAAAATGATCCCAGGGCGTACGGATAGTCCCTCAAAATCTGAGGTCAGTATAGATGTTTATCATTGAATTTGAATCTGATATATGTTGTCTTGTTCCTTGTTTTAGACCTTATACAGTTGCGAGCGCCGTAAAACCTTGTCTAACTAACTAAAACTTGTTTTAGACAGCAAGCTGTTCTTCTGTTGTAAGCCCAAAAAGCTAGTTTTTTCAGGAAAGAGAAAAAAGCTTTTATTCTTTTAAACATTATACACTATGTATCTTTTTCTTCTTTTGTCAACATTTAGAATTTGAATTTTGACAAAATATTTCTCAAGCACATGCAACCAATACTGAAGATTGAGAAACTGCAATTTTTAACTTTATCCGTACTCACCGGGGTCATTTTGTACCCCCAGGGTTGTATTCTTCTCAATTTAGAATACTTCTAGTGCGAAGGTCTCTTTGAAACTTTCAGTATTTCTCCAGACTTTTTACAGACTGCTATGCAAAGCGTTCGGATTGGATTAACGAGTAAATTTTCTCTTTGGAAAATGGTGGCACAGAGTTCCCCATGTCGTATGGATACGATAGTAAAACACTACGTACGGATAAGGTTAAATGGTGGCACAGAGTTCCCCATGTCGTATGGATACGATAGTAAAACAGGTCATACGGATAGGGTTAAAAAATATTTTCTCAATATCTTGCTTAGTACATCAGAACAGTTAGCTAACAGTATGTGTACTGGACAAACTCTAGCTTCCTTTTTTTGTCCAACGTAAGGCAGTTTGAGACAGCAGCGTGTAGACAATAGACACACCTTTCAACGTAGTTGGGGAAGTCGCTGAAGATAAAGAAAGTTTCACCCTATCCTTGCGCCCTGGTGTCATTTTGTACCCCCGGGGTTGTATTCTTCACATTTTAGAATACTTTTGTGCGAAGTTCTCTTTGAAACTTTCAGTATTTCTCAAAAAAATCATTTCGACAGACTGCTATGCAAAGCGTATGGATTGGATTAACGAGTAAATTTCCTGTTTGGAAGTGGTGGCACAGAGTTCCCCATGTCGTATGGATACGATAGTTAAACGACACACGGATAGGGTTAAAAAATATTTTCTAAATGTTTTGCTTTGTACATCAGAACAGTTGGCTGATGGTATTGTACCATACAAACTCTAGCTTCCTTTTTTAAAAATCTAGTGTAAAATAGTTTGAGGGTGCAGTGTGTAGACAGTAGACACACCTTTCAACGTAGTTGGGGAAATCGCTGAAGAAAAAGAAGGAAGTTTAACAGAGCTCATTTTCTTCTTCAAAGCATTTTCCCGTCTATTCTTTTTTTGTTTAATGGATACTTCCTCGTTATGATTTTTCTTATTTCAATCCCCACAACATTTTTACAGTATTAGAGAATGGTTGTACAGTATGTTTTGATTCTAATTCTTACTCATCTTTTTTGTAAGAACACCTTGGTCAAGAGTCGAATGGGTCTCAAGATAACTTGTCCTCAGGTAGCCTCACCCACCAACCAACCAAAGTTTTCGTCAAAGGACCAGTGCTTTAACACTTTAACCATGCAATTTAAAATCACGTTTCCTCGTAATTCTCTCATGTTTGTGGAAATACGACCCGCCATATTATGTTTTTAAAAACGCTTTTTTCGTGTCAAACTGATCAATAAAGCTTTACCCAGACGTAGAATTCATTTATCCTTACTTCGGGGTCAAACTAAAGGCTTGTTAGATCGTACTTTTTTATTTTATTTGGCTCGTACCATAGTACAATAATAACTTGGCATCGGACGATGGTACAGTCCAGCCATGGTTATGGACCTCGACTACCGGACGCTGCCACCGTCCAGACGTGATTAAAGAGTTAAACGTGTTGTTCCATGTGTAAATTTATGTGTACAATGTGAAATGTGAAGATCTTCAGTAAATAAATTTCGGTTATTACTCTCAGTTGTGCTTTTCGAAATGTAATGTTTACTTCTTTGATTGTTTTAGATTTTTTGCTAATTTTTTAGTTGTACCTTGCTAGTCAGGTTTTATTTGTCAAAAGAATTACAGTGCTTTGACTTTGAAGTGCAACTTTTTCTTGCACATTTGTTGTTTGCTCATGCTGTTTATTTGGTCGCTTTTAAGGACAAGCGGGCTAACCCAGATTTAGATTGTTTCCAGAAATCTTGACCTACTCCAAAAGTGGACATTGCCCTACCTATTGGGGAAGTTTGGTTTCATTGGTGTGTATATTTTGTTTGGTTATAGAGAAAACTCTCCTTGTTTTTTAAAGAAACTGAACAAGGGGCAAAAACTTTACCTTCGATTTTCTCTAAACAGCATTTTTCGGGATAGCCCCCTTGTGCTTAAAAGCGACCATTTATCAAGGAGAAAGAAATGCCACTATAGGCCTACAGTATGTAAGTGTAGTAATGGTCACATGACATTTCTTTGCTTCTTTTAGATTATTAGGTATTCTTTCCATTTGGATAAAGAGAATGTGTGTGTGTGTATGTGTATGTGTATGTGTGGTGTGTGTATGTATGTGTGTACGTGTGTGTGTTTGTTGTATGTTTTTGTGTGTATGTATGTGTGTGCGTATGTGTGTGTGTGTGGTGTATGTGCGTGTATGTGTATGTGTGTGTACATGTGTGTGTGTATGTTTACAGCCTCATGAGAGATCTTGAGCATGTGCTGCAGTTACTCCTCCTAATTCTGCCTTTGCCCTCAGTATAGAATTGTGTCATAGTATGGCTGTTCTGTTCTTTGTGTTTTTTGTTCTTTTATTTAGAGGAGTTTACACGCAAAAATTGCATCAATATTTTTCTACATTTTGCATGATCTGATGAGGCATCGTTTGTATATGATAATAATTTGTTATTTTTTAAACGACTCAGCAGATTTTTTTACTGCTGTTTTTTCCTCTTGTCTCTTTATTTATTTATTTGTGTCACGGTGCGATGGAATCAGGCGCTCGTCAATTTTGGGACATTTGGAGTTATTGGTATCATCTTAAAGCCTGTCCATTTGCCTTGCTTTTGATAAAAAAAGTATCCTTTTATCTTTGATACAAGTCAAGCTATTGACGATTGAAGGAGGTGGGGGTCACCTGGTTTCAGATGTAAAATTAGTGAGAAAATGGTCACTAAAGTTGAGTTATTTCCTTAGCTTGAGAGTCCGTGGAAACTGAAAATTTGTATGGTCTCTGCCTTTAATCAGCGTTTTTCCATAAAATCCATACAGAAATGCGTTCTTTAATCTGCTGAAAAATGCCAATTTCTTGTCTTTCATTATTTTGACGAGCGCCTGATTTCACCACGCTGCATCACATTTGTGTATGATTATACGTCTCACCTCGTCGGTGCAACTTAGGCATGGGGGAACCATTGTATGCCCTGTCATCCTTTACCCTTTCAAAAAATAGTTTCTATTTTTGTAATTTGTGTATGCTTTTAAGTGAAAGATATCCCTGTTTTGGCCTTTGGTTGAGTGTTTTTGTTTGGGTGGGTCGCCCACTCCTCAAGGCTGCCTACCATCTGTACGACTGTCCCCGTGGTTTTATGCAAAGAAAAATTCTGAAATTATGCAAACTGAGCCCAAAAATGGGAAATTATGCGATTCTGTTAATTTTAACAAAGAATGATAAATACAGAAAAATAATAAGAAATTATGCAAAAATGGATCAAATTTTGCTAAATTATACGGGGTGCATAAAACCACGGGGACAGCTATATGTGCTTTGTGACGGCAAAGTGTTAAAGAAATGTTCGTCTCACAATACGGAACTTAGACATTTTTGATGGTCAGTCAGAATGTGATTTACAGATCTTAAATTCTGTAATTGTCTTGGAAGAATTGATCTAACCTGCGTAGTATGTTTTAGTCTGAAAGCTGAATGTGATGATTTGGTCACTAGGTTGTCTTCTGCTCTCAACGGAGAAAGATATTCCATTATTATATATCTGTTAAATTAATTCCATTTTGTTTATATGTTATCTATTTGTGGTGGCCGAATGTTGCTATTCAAAAGGCTGTTTAACGGCTGCATCGATCGACATGCCGTTTTGGCCAAAAAATTCTGTAAAATATTCTCCAGAGCATGGCGCCCTTGGTTTTTTCAGTTTTGAGACAGTTTTGCTGCAAAAAGCTAAATTTTTTTATTTCTCAGATCGCTTTAGTAGGCCGACGCTTCTGTCTCTGTAATTTTAGAAAATCCGAAAGTGATATTTCGCCAGGCGCATTTTGTTTTGAGAGTATAGATCTAGACCTCATTTTTTGCACCTCTCAATATTTATTTCCCCATTCCAGTAGAGTGTAAATATAGTAGGCCAATGACTTTCAGCTTGTATTAAAGAACCGATTATTCCTTTCATCGAAAGGGGGCCCAGCTAGTATATTATATCTGTGAAAATGAATTCCATTTTGTTTATATATTATTATATCTGTTAAATTGATTCCATTTTATTTATATATTATTATATATCTGTTAAATTAATTCCATTTTGTTTATATTGTATCTGTTAAATTAATTCCATTTTGTTTATATTATATCTGTTAAATTAATTCCATTTTGTTTATATATTATTATATCTGTTAAATGAATTCCATTTTGTTTATGTATTACATGGATGGCTGAGTGCAAGAAGTGACTATGTTCACTTTTGGTCCAAGATTCTGAGCCACTCTTTTTCCTCTGTAAATATCTATTTTAGTTCGGTATAGAGAGATATTAACGTTTCTTTTTTTACAATGTCGTAGAGGTTTCAATATATCGTGAAAATT